TTAGACACAATGTATTTATTTATACCCTATCAAAAGAACAAAATATTGTTTTTTTTCATGAGGTTAGTTCATTGTACAATTAAAAAAATGTACAAAATAAAGCCTATGGCTTGATTGCTAGTGGCCAAACATGTTTTCAATCTTTGCCCTAATGTAAAAGATTTTTAATCAACTACAAACTGATGCAGAATATCTTTCCTACTTTTCCAAGTCTTGTCAGGAACAATAAGATACAATAAATTTGCCCCACAGGATTTTAAAGCCTAAGTTTTATATATAATGCAACTCAGGTCTACGAAAATAATGTAGCCATATTTACAAATTTAATTCACAAACTGCTACAGAAAAATAGCTGGAAATTTTGTTTTGCTTCTTTCAAATTTTCTCTGTACAGCAGCAGAATTTTAAAACATCTCTCTTCCTTATAATAAATAATTCATTTTAGTATATGTTCTGTATATATTCAAAGTTTTTGTATATTTTATAAAAATTCATAGAATTGCAAGATTCAGTCATCTTATTTACACTGGAGAGCTACAGTTCAACAGAGCCATCTCCTCCAGAGTTTAGGGATAGCTGCATCAAACCAATTGTGACTTTATTTACTTATTAATACTTGTGTGTGGCACTTGAAATTCCTTAGTTGTATTATTAAGACTTGTTACCAATTGCATCTGTCCTCCTCTAACATCTCCTTCCAGGATACACCCATCTTTGTTAGTGGAATTACATAACCATCACTGCCCCTGCTGACAGTAGCACATCTAAAGCTGCTGTCCAGCTCTAGGATTTGGTATGCTTTTATAGTAAATATCCTCATTCGCTCCTCTTAGAGGGAGAGAGATGTTCTTCCATGTTGGGATTTCTCTTCTGATAGGGAGAGTCTCTGGTTGGGCATGCTTGTATGAAGGGAGTCTCTGTTGGGAGCTGAAGATATGACTTCCACCTCTGCAGTCAACTAGAAGACATAACTCTCTTGTCTTTCTTCTGGGGTTGGTAGAGAAGGGAGTGAGTTCTCTGAGGAATGAGCTGAGCCTTGAGTTCTTTTGAAGGAGCTCTGTTCCCTGAGTTGTCTCCACGTATTAAAGTGAAGTATCTGCTACAAGAGCATCATCTTCACTAATGCTGCCTCCCATCACAGTCTTGACTGGGAGTGTGAGTTTGAAGTTGGGAGTCTTACTAATGCCCAGAAGACTGTTGTGCACTAATTTTGAAATGATGATTTTCTGAGGCAACAGCCCCACTTACCATCAGACCCACATTGGAGCCCAGGCCCAAGTCCAAGGCCGACCCACTGACCTACATGGAAGCTTAGGCCAACATTAAACACAGGACCACCCTCTGACTGGCAAACCCATTCCTGAGCCCAGGCCCAGCCCACCTCCATCTTGGGACACTGCAGCCATCGCCTACTCCAATACAACTTATCAAAATCTATGGGACACTATGAAGGCAGTTCTAAGAGGAAAGTTTCATTGCCTTAAGCTCATTCATTAAAAGAAGAAAAAGTCAACAAATAAGCAACCTGACATTACATCAAGGATGTCCACCAGTTGTTCCATCAGTCTCACTGAAGAACTCACATCCCCTGAAAACATGAGACCTTTGGTATATTTAGCCAGTTAATTGGCAAGACTAGCAGCATTTTCTACACTTCTGAGTTTCCAAGCCAACTGATTTACCCAGTATGAAGTACAGTTGCTAAGATCTGAGCTACTTAGGGTTCCATGTTCCAGTGGGAACCATCCAGAGATGCGAGACAGTTCCTCTTGTTCCCTTGGGATGTGATCGTTCAACCGTCATTCCCCTTTGTGTCTGAGGTTGCTTTATCCCCCTTGCATCTAACGTTTCCCAGAATCTCTCTTAGGCAGGATCAGGTGGACTTAACTCCAGAGAGTATCATAAAATAAAATTATTGTTCCACACATAGAGTTAGCTATCTCTTGGATTGGAATCCACTGTAGCAATATATTGATTAGGGAAGGGAACATCTACATATTCTCCTCAGTTTAATTGAGTATCATAAATATTATTGATTGCATTCTTGCCTGTTTAATTTTCATTGTCTTGATGAACTGACCTGACCACAAAAAGGAGTCTATATATCATAAAAGCAATTGATGCAGCACATTTGTCATATGCAGTCTTCCACATTGCTTCAAATCAAAGAGTATATGGATTCAGATGGCTAATGACTATCATTCCACTGTTCTGTTCAGTGGCATAAATGACCCAAAGCCATTTTCATCAACTACCAAGTAGATATCACTCTTTTCTCCCCATCTGTATGGGAGGTTTCATGGTAGTTGGTCTAGTTAATTATGGCCTCACCACTCTTAATTCTTCTATAAGTCTGGTGGAAATACAGTCTAAAAGTTCCTTCCAGGTCTAAAAGGCAGAGATTATATTGAGTGGGAGCTTTGCTCTCTTTGTACCATAGTGGTAGTTGTGTTTATCAAAAAGATTGTTCATTCTTCTTCCTATCCTAAAGATTCAAATCAATGCAAATAAACCTAAATTTTTATAAATTTTAAGTAACTGCTGTCCTTGCTAGGTGCTAGAGAGAAGGCAAGTACTACTTGTCAGATAACCAAAGGAGCGGATATAGCGATGTCCAAAGCAGCCAACTAACAAGGAATGGGAAGCTTTGGGTTACTCCCCTCTAACTTTCTCGCTTCATTACTAACTATAATATCTACTAGGCAACTTATGTCCTCCAAATCCTACTTTGACAATAGCCATGCCAACCAAATATGAAATGTTGCCTGTTCCAGAGCTGCTTCTAAGAACTTACCTCTTAACTTTCACCCGTGAGGTAGATGCTTGGCTTTTTCACCTCTGTGCACCTCATATCCTGCAGAACTTAATCCTAGCTGCTTATTAGCATCACCAAGGGAGCTTTTTAAAAATGTTGAAGCCTATCTTTCTACCCCCAGGGATTCTGATCTAATTGGTTTAACATGAGGTCCTGGCATTGGTCTGTTTTTAGTTTTAGTTCAGAGTTGGTTTTTTGTTTGTTTGTTTGTTTGTTTTTCCTAAATCCCCAGCAGATGACTCTAATATATAGCCAGAACTGAGAACAACTACACCTTTGAAACAGAAGTTGCTTAATTTTCATCTCCTGGTTAAGTCTCAACGCTAGATTCTGGGCCCAATTCTGTTCCTGTCCAGGGAGAATTCAAGGATTCTTAAACTAGCAGCTCAGCAGCTCAATACTTAGGGCTTAATCCCACTGTGGCCTGGACTCCCAGTTCCAGTAATTATAGGTGGTTGCTATTCATCATGAATAAGCCCTTGCCCCAAAGGAACAGGAAGGGCAAAAGGGTCAACAGTTGCTGGGCAGGCAAAAACAGCAGATGTTTACTCTAGTATTCTCCCACTTCTTTCTGCTTCCTATCCCCTCTGCTCATCTCATTTTAACAAAGTTCTCCCTTGTAAACAAGATCACTTAATGACCTTTATGGATAGAAAATATCTGTCCTAAATATCTGTCTTTAGTTATGTCTTATGTCAAGCTGCCAGATATTTCTGTTTATTTTATGACAAACTCCTCCTAATAACCTCTTTCTGAGATACCTCATCTTTAATCCTGTCTTCTCCCTTTTTTAATTGCACCCAGTCAATCCCAAATTTTACTCTTATTTGATTTCTTTTTACAAATCTCTCCATCCACTCATTGTTATCATCCTTAAGTGTAAGACTATTTATTATCAGTGTAAACCAAGGAAAAGAAAAGCTACTTATTTTTTAAAAGTGGAATTTTGGCATTTGAAAATTAAAAACAACCTTTAGAGTTCATAAAAGTACTAATAAACTCTTTTCAAAATTCCCATAAAAGTCTATATTCTTTAAAATATAAGAATGATCAGTGGTGTAGAGGAAGGGAATTGAGAGGGAGAGAGGAGGGAAGGAACAAAGGAGGAGTTGCCAGATGAAATTGACCAAATTATGCTATGTATACATATTAGTATACCATAGTGAATTCCACCTTTGTGTGTATCTGTAAAGCAACAACTTAAAAAACAATAAATAAATGGAAGGAAAACCAACAGAGTAGAGGAAGGGAAATAGGGGGAAGGAGAAAGGGAGGGAAAGTGGAAATACAAGGGATTGAAATGGAGCAATTTGTATTTTGTGCATGTATGAATATATCAGAATGATCTCCACTATCATATATATAGCTAATTAATAAAAATGTTTTTGAAAGGCTGTCTTCTTTTATGAAAATTTTTCTTCAGAAACCAGTATTCAATAACACAACATAATAATATAAGCTTTTTGTTGTTGTTTTTGTTTTTTGTAGTACTGCAAAACCCAGGGCCTGGTACATTCAGGGCAAGTGCTGTACCACTGAACTACATCCCTAGCATCATAAAAATTATTTTTAATCCATTTGTTGCTTTCTGTTTTGATATTTGTTTTTGCAACTGTTTTGTTTATTAGTATTTTTTACAACAATTCATTTTGTGGGTTATCCTCAGAACAGTTGTGCCATCTAGAACATTGTTTTAAATTGGAATTCTACTCTATGTAGCAGTCAAAGTTTTGAAACCCAATCCATTTGTAAATCGAGAACTGCATGAATACGTGTAACTCCATACTGGGAAATTCTCCTTTCTAGTATGAGATGGGACAGCCTCTAAGATTTGCCAAAGGACACGAAGGCAGATTTTAATGACATGTGTTTTTGTTGATAAGACTAATGACTTCCCCAGTCACAAATGAGACAGAGGAAGTTATTCTCTTATTTGGCCCAGCAGAATGTGCTATGTATGATTTTCCCAATGCCAAGGTGAGTTTCATGATATAACATACTTTGCTATCAATTACTATGACAATCTGAGAAAATAATCCCTATTATAATGCCTAGAATTATTCTCAGAAAATTGCTTTTACAACTAACATATTTGTCTAATTAAAGATAAGAACTCAAAAGTATGTCAATTTTTCCTGGCATGAAATATAACCCTAAGTTTGACTCTGTTCTCTGTTTTGACCAGGCAATGTGATCCTCTGTGAACATTTGCAAAAGACAAAGACGGAAAAGAAGAAGAGTTCTTAAATGTTTAATGCACATAAAACAACTAAATTTTTCTCTATTATGTAAGGAAGTATGTGTTCTGTATTGCCCTTGAGAATATCACAATTGTGAATTGTGATCTGTATGTATTTTTAGTACATATTTAAATAAGCCATTGTGAATCAAATATCCTAAGATCATTAAATTACTTGCCTGCATTATCTAAATCCCTGCTTAAATTTCTTCCCTAGATACATTACTCCTACAGACTAAATTATTCATCTCACCAAACTTTCTAAACTGACAAAGACTCTTGCTTTCTCGCCTAGAGTGCCATTGTGAAAGCGAGTATCAGCTCAACAAATACTTTCTCTTTTATTAAAAGATAAGGGTAAGGATCCATCATGTCTAAAAATAGATATTTGGAACTTAAAATCTGCCAGACCATATGTTGTATGACTCCAAGATCAAAGAAACAAAGACATCATTCTCCTGGGGGTATGTATTATAACAATCCTTCTAAGGGATTAAGTGCTAGTTCGTTTGTATGACTATAGAGTTGTGTAAACATCTGTAGCTATCTGAAGAAGAAAAACAGATATGAATTCCTGGGGATAGGAAACATCACAAACTGGCTCTGATCTGCATGTATTTGTGCCTGTGTTGTAAGAATGCATATGAGAATGTGAATTTTTTTTCTAGTCTGCTTAAGATTTCTTTTGATGTTGATTAGTTAACTTGTTTTTCATTGGAAATCAATGGAATGGCCAAAAATATAGGACTTAAGAGTCTTCACCTATGAGCAAGATATCATTTTACAAAACATAGGATCTTTATAATTCTTTTTTCTGTTTTAAACTTTGAAACTTATTTTCTAATGAATACTGTACATCATTGTTTTAAAGTTTAAAAAATTTTTCAAAACTTCTAAATAAGTTTTCAAACCTTTTGCCATAATCTCTAAATACGTTTTACACATATAGTGCACATTTTATAATATATTACACATTTTATATGATACAAAATCAACCACCTTAAGAGATGTAATTACAGTATTACACTAGATAATCATTCTGAGACTCTGTATCCTAATACATTGAAGCAATTTAGCAGTTACCCAGTTTGGACAAAAAGCAATTCCAACCCCCAAAGAGGATTCTCTTCTACATTTGCAACCATCAAATCATCACTTCTCTTTAGATTGGAGATTTTTAAAGCCAAACACTTTAAATGTTAAAGTTGAAAGGTCCAGGTTTTCTCTAATAACTTGGCAATGATGTGTAGGCTGATTGTAATGATAGAAATGTCTGCTTTTTGTCAGCTAACAAAAAAAGAACTTCAGTCCTCTTCAAGTGATGGAATGGGTGGGAAGCAATGAAAAATAGTAACACTTTACTGTATATCATGAGCCTATATTTCTTTTAATTTTTAAAATTGTGTGTATGCATATACTTGATAAAAAGATACAAAATCATATACAATAAATCTCTCTGTCTTTCCTCAATTACCCAGTTCCCTCTTTGGAGGAAACACTGTACATGGTTTCTTGGAGATTCTCCCAAAGAAAATCCATGCATTTGCCATCATACATATAAAATACCCGCTTCCTTTCTCCCTCTCCCTCTCTCCCTCTCCCTCCCTCCCCGACCCTGCCTTGTACACACGCACACACCCCCTCCCTTCCCCTTTCTCTCCCTCTCTCCCCTCTTTTCACCAAAAACATTAGTGTAATCATATTCTTTGCTCTATTCTTGACTTGAAACTCTTGAAAATTGTCCTAAATCACCACATATAAAAGGACATCATTCAGGCTGTTTTCTGCATAGTGATCCATTGTAGAAGTATACTATAAACAGTCTCTTAATGATAAAGCATTTAGATAGTTTCCATCTTATACTATTAGTTGTAGGCGGTAACAAATATTTCATGTGCATATATTTTATATTTCACATATGAAAGATTATAGAATAAATGCATAGGAGTTGAAACTGAGTCAGAGAACATGAGCATTTTAATTTTGATTTACAGAATCAAATCACCCCCCATAGGAGGCAATATACTCCTAACTGTAATATGTGAGAGAGGATTGGTGTTTTTTAGTAGAACTCACTTCATATTTGTATACAAAAGAAATAAAAGAACAAAATATTATTTTTATTTTATAAATGTCAGAAAAACCTAGTATTTGAAATATAAAAAAATATAAAGTAATTTAACAGTAAGAAAATGATCATTTCAGTTTGTTACAAAAGAGAATTGTCATATTACAAGAAATGGTGTTTAATTATATTTTTCAAAATCATGAAAATAGTTAAATCTTTCTGTTTCTTTTGGTAATGCTATTATTAAAATTATGTGTAGAAAAAATTTATGGTACAATTATCTAGTATTCTAGATAATGATAAAAAATCATTGTACACACAAAAACTTTTCTGTCTTTATTGCATTAGAATTGGTATCAATTAATTATACATATCTAAAGTGTAAATGTTGATATATTTAGGCATATGTACACACTCATGAAATTATCATCAAAATTAAAATAATGAACATATTCTTTGTCCCTAAAATTTCTTCATGCCCTTTTGTAATTCCTCTCTCCACACCTTTCTGCTTCTAGACAGTAACCAGATCTTCTCTCTGTCATTAGAGTTTGCATTTGTTAGAATTTTTTTTTTATGGGTACCGGGGTTTGAATTCAGGGGCACTCAACCACTGAGCCACATCCCCAGTCCTATTTTGTACTTTATTTAGAGACAGGGTCTCACTGAGTTGCTTAGTGGCTTGCTTTTGCTGAGGCTGACTTTGAAATTGGATCCTCCTCTCTCAGCATCCCCAGCTGCTGGGATTACTGGCACACACCACTGTGACTGGCTTGTTAGAAATTTTGATCTGGTTTCTTTCATGTAGTACAATTATTTTGAAATTCCTCCAAGTTGTTACATGTATCAATAGATCATTGTTTTTTATGGCTGAGTAGTAACCCTTTATATGGATATACCACAGTCTATTAATTCACTTTCCTGCTCATGGACGTTGGATTGTTTTCAGTTTGGGACTGTAACAAGATGTTATGGACATTCATGTACATTTTTTGACAGATATTAACTTCTATTTCTTTTGAGTAATTACCTGATGGTATGAGGGCTATGTCTAATGATCAACATCTATTTAAAAAATTGATAACTGTTTTCTATTTCTAGGATGATTGTACCATTTTAGATCTCTAACTGACATTCATGAGAATTACACTTGCTCCATATCTGCAATAACACTTAGTATTGGTAGTATTTCATTTTAGCTATTCTAATAGGTATGTAGTAGTATCTTGCTGTGGTTTTATGCCTTTATTAGTTATGTATAATATTTGGGTTCATTTTGACATAATCATGCATGTTTGGAATTTAATTTGCTCCATTTCAGTCCTTGGTGCCTTCTCTATCATTCCCCTCCTTTCTCTTCCTTTCCCCTTCCTCTACTGATCTTTCATTTATCTATTTATTTTTAATTTTTGCTTCATAGATATGCATAAAGGTTGAATTCACTGTAGTATATTTATATATGCACATAGTGTAATTTTGTCAAATTCATCCCACATTTTCTTGTCTTTCCTATCCCTCCTCTATCCCTCTGTTTCTTCTACTACACTAATCTTCCCTCTGTTCTTATGATACTTGATTTTCCTCCACACACCTTGTTTCCCCTTACTTTGTTCTAGTTTCTGCATATTAGAGAAAACATTTAATCCTTGATTTTCAGAGTCTGGCTTATTTCACTTAGCGTGTTATTTTCCACTTCCATTCACTTATGGGCAAATGCCATGATTTCATTCTTCTTTATGACTGAGTAAAACTCCATTGTGTATATATATCACATTTTCTTAATCCATTCATCTATTGATGGGAAGCTGGGTTAGTTCCATAACTTGGTTGTTGTGTACAGACAAAATTTTGATATCAAAAATCTAAATAAGGGGCTGGAATTGTGGCTTAGTGGTAGAGCGCTTGCTTAGCATGTGTGAGGCCCTGGGTTCGATTCTTAGCACCACATATAAATAAATGAATAAAATAAAGATCCATCAACATCTAAAAAAGATACTTTAAAAAAATCTAAATAAGCAAAAATTGGGACTGTGACTTTTTAATCTGTTATTATAATAGTCATTATAATACTACAACTAACCCTCAAATTGATAAGTAGGTATTCTGGATATACATCTCAAAAAAATAGGAAAATAATAATAATTTTAATAGGGATATAAAAATTCTGACCAGATGATAAAATACTATTACTTTATAAAATGAAAAAAGTTTTATAAGCTAATAGAAATAATAGAAAAGACTAAGCACTTTGTTTTAGAAGTTAGAGCCTTAAGTAAAATGAATGTTTGAAAAAAAAAAAAAGAGTTCCTTTCTTGGTAAGGTAGATTTCTAAGGGTACCAATGACTACTCAATTAAAAGGAAAACTAAGTTATGCATTGAATAACTAGAAGGTTGTTGTTTCTAGATATTTTTGATGTTAATAGATAAAATGTATTTTATGAAGATTTATGACTATCAGAGTGGCAGTTCTATAGCATTTTGTAACAACAATATGAATTATAATCTTAAAAATTGGAAAGAAATCAAATTCCCTTTATTTAAGAATTCTCGAATAATTCTCAACCATCTTTTCTCATCCCAAATATATTTTATTCCTTAAAATTCAGGTTCACCAGAAAGTCAATATCACTGTCTAGATTTTTCTGATCACATGAGAAGGATTGGACTAGATGGTTCAGTGACTAACCTCATGACTGACACTCTGATTAAAAGTAGCTACACAAATAGTTTTTAAGCAAATTTCCATATAGCTAGTTGTTGTATTTAAATTCTGTCTAAAACATTCCAAAGAAAGCAACTATTGGTAAAGCACGCTAAATGTAAAATCAGTCAAATGAATCTTTTAACATCATGTGCTAATCTAACATTTGAATGAATTTTTCATACTTCACCCAAATATTTATCATGCTGTATGTTTAGTCCTGAACTCCAAAGGCAAAAAGCCTCCTTTTTTACAGTGTCTTTAAAAAATTAACCTAACTATATAACTCTATAGCATATTTCACTACAACATGCAAGTCAAAAGCATGACTACAACACAGAATATATATCACATGAAAATGAAGCAACAGCTTTTTAAGAATGAGCAAGAAATGCACCAAAATAAACACTTGTGTTT